TATTTTACGTGTCATGTGCGGTAACCTAAATAGACACCAGGCAATAGACTGAGACAGGCGATCATGCATATGGTGTTAACAAATGGAGTAACACTGGCACTTAGGCTGGTTGAAAGATCAATTTAATCAAAGATGCAAGGAATGAAATTTATAAACAGAGCTTAAGCCAGTCTGGTGCACTCAGAGGGATTCTCTGCTGCTCCACTCGTGCAGATCTGGAATAAGTCACAAACACACAATCACACAATCACACTGTAACACTTACAACTAATTGTGGATTAGTTGATTTTTCTACTTCCTGTGTCTACTGTTACAAATGCAAGGAGATTTCTCCTTAATGTAAAGCTAACTCCTGCCTCTGTTTGAATCCTCTCCAGTCTAACAGCTGGAGCACTCCTCAGACATCCCTGAAGTACTCCCTTGACATCGCCCAGCGCCACTCGGATATGTGTGCCCCACGACAACCCTTGTCGCCTCTCTACGATGAGCCCTGCACCCCCGAAATCTACTCCTTGGAAGAGGCCAGGCCAGTGGTAAGTGGGCCAATGATACTGGATCCACAGGTTCAATTTACACCTGCACAGCCTGTCTGATATCAAGCAGTGCAAACACCCATAAACACATGAGTATTTGGTCATGTGATAACTCTTTTTTTAGAGCATGTCAAATCTTCTATAGAAGTTTAAACGTTTTAAATTGTGATTTAGCCAACCAGTCATTTAATTATTTTAGTTTGGCTTAATTTTATTTTTAAGTGCAGTAAAATATTCAGTTTTACTGCACTATTCCTCTTTATGAAGTCATCATTTATTTTATTGGATACATTTACTGTTTTGTCCACTGTATCTGAGGAATGTTGCAACTTTTGTGCTAAAAATGCATATCTTATTCCTTTGTTTCTTAGCCGCGGCTCTGGCAAGAGCTGAATCAACAGCAGTACCACCACCAGGAACCCCAGATGCTGCCCTCCTCCTTCCAGCTCCACGACCCTCCTATGGGTGGACGCGCCAGGAGAAGCCTGGTCCTGACCAACACCCAGGGCCACGCTCTGGACCTGGAGATGGACACACCCGAGAACCAAGCGCAGCAGAGAGCAGAGGCTGTGTCGAGGCTAAAGCTGCTGCCTGTGCCAGGTCAAATGCAAGAGCAGGTGAGAGGCACAGAGATACTCATCTCCCAGGACACTCCGGTTTCTGGAATGCAGTAGTGCAGAGTGAAATGATAAACTGTACGGTAGCACAGCAAGCGTGCTGCAGGTGATATTTAAACAGGTTCAGAAGAAACACACGTTTTTAAGAAACCATGAGGATGTTTGTTGTAACTGATCACAGGAAGTAACTGTCTCTGTTTTCACATCTGCTGACAGATACTTCACCCGTCGAGCTCTGCCAGAAAGCCCGCTCAGATGCATTATGGTTACTCACCAGGTAAGAATTAAAGGCATGCAATCAAAAGCCAAATAAAACATAAAAGTTATGTTTAGAAAGCCTGCGTGTCATTTTGTGCTCCTAGCCCAGATAGGAAATGTTTTCATTTCATCCTGTGAACAAAGATACAGAGCCCCTTTTTTTCTTTGTGGAGAAACAATGGAGACTCTTTGAAATCTCCAATCTCAAAGTTTGAGCTATAAAAGTCAGCACTGTGAGCCTGTGTGCCTGAAAGGACACACAACATTGTCCACGCTCCACCACACTGTAAATTCAACACTGTGCGCACTTTGGTGTGATTAAACTCCCGGGGCTGTCAGCAGGTAGACGGAAGGTTAAAGGTTGCAGATTTGAAGGTGTAGGAAATGTGCAAATGTGCCGGTGAATTAGAGCTTAGTGTCGCTCTAAATATGCTGGTGCAGTTGTCCCAACAGGGAGAAGCTCAGTGTAAGAGAACACTGCTCAACAGATTGGATTTATAACTGTTGTGTGACTGACAGCACACAACTGCTCACACAGGCTCTGCTATCATTGATGAAACAAGACTAGGATTTCTCTGGTCAGTCCAGATTATCTGATTATCCAGATAAACTAGTAAACATGATTTTACCAGGTGATTTTATTTGACGGGCTGCACGTTTTTTACTATTGACCATAAATAACAAGAGAAGGTGGTGCAGCAGGGATTATGCAGCTCTACTGGTTTTTACAGTAAGACCATATTTTGGGACAATGCACATAACACCATAATTACTTTGGGACTGTTTCCAAGTTTACTTAAACAGGGTGAGGTTTGCTTTTTGCTGCGTGAAACTACAAGTATGTTAATCGTCTTCAATTCTTATAGGTCGCAATTCATACCTCGAACCCGCGGAACCAGATGACCAGGAAATAGACTATGACAACATTTGGGAGTTCGACTGTGATACAGGAATGATCCAGCCAACGACTGGAATTTCAACAGACTGGACAGGATTAGACTTCGGGGCCAGAGGGCTTGGTGCCATGGCAACACCACAGAGATGGTCATAAAACAAAAAGGATGGCCCGGCGCTCGTCTGGACGTGTGCAAACAACAGATCTCTATCAGGGGGGATAATAAAAGCCGGCAAGCACAGCAAGCATCGCACTGGTCCCACTGTGTACAGTAGGAACCAACAAATCCCAGGAACTGCTTTGTTAGACGTCGGGCAGTTGAGCAGAGGAATGACGGGATGAAGCAAAACGTTATGGAAGTGACAAACAAAGGCTTCAGTTGTCTGTTTAATATGTAGCATTTGTGGAAGGAGACAGTAGAGGATGCTGTATATACTGTGTAGCTTGAATAATATTTTCTGTCATTGGTTTTATCTGTAGTAAACCCAGTTTCTTTTTTTATTTTAATATTTATAGGTTTTTCAAACAGGCTGTTCATTTCATATTATACTGTAATGTGTAATGTTATTAAAGCATTCCATCAGGGCTTGTTATAGTAAAGAATATATGTATATTTTTGTAAATCTTGTACACTTATTTTATTGTGCTATACTGTCAAGGCAAATAGATGTGGCTGTAACTGACTAATATTGAATTAATAATAATAATAATAATATCAGGGGTGCACAGTACTGATACCTCTGTGGCTTTTTTTTATTTTTGTTTGAGGTGCTTATTTATATTTGGAAATAAAAGTGTTAAAAGTTTCAGTATATTGTGTCTGTTTTGTCCTCTTCTGCATATAGTAATAGGAACACTTTAAAGGTAATAATTTGTCAAAGTGTCTTGGCTTTAAATAAAATTAATAGTGAGTGGTGAAGGATTGGTTTATATTAGAACGTGAGAAAAATAACAGCAATAATGTAAGAATAAAACAAGTCTTTTTATGCAAACCTTATGTTGTAAAACAGGTGTTCTGCAGCCTGCACACACTAGCTCACCAGGTGCCTCTTTCAAAGTCTAGTAAGACACCATTTAGTTTCCACGTAGGCAAATAATAAACAACAGTTTACCTGTGATTAATAGATTGTACAGTGCTTTGGAAAAATCATGTGACCTCTCTAATTTCTTTACATCTTGTAGCAAAATGTGGTGCAATTGACTGAAACATGCAGGCATATATGGAAATACAGTAAATGATTTAAAAACAAGAGTTTCAGGGTTAGAGTTGTACAATTCTAACCAGTTTTAAAAGTCAGTATTTTGTATGAAAATCCACCTTAGTTGGTGCAAAAATACTATTTTATATCTGTCTTTTCTTTAGTATTTTTCCTGGATTTAATTAATAAAATTATTGTAAGCTATGAGAAACTAGATTTCTGCTAGTAACAAAGTGCCTGAAGATACAATTTAAAGCTATTTGCTAAGTTGTCTGTCACGCGCAGACACAACAGTGATTCATCACTGTTGTGTCTGCTTTTTCATGCTCAAATGATTCATAAGTCAGCGTTAACTGGCTCAACAAACAACAACAAAAAGATTCATTTGAAAAATCAAGAGAACTTTGAAACACCTTGGAATTTATGGTCCAGTGTTGCCCCCTGCTGGACACAACGTCTTGACAGAGTGCTCTTTGAATACCAACAATACTGAACAAACTTTAAACTCTTTAAATTTAAACAGTATATTAAAATATATTGTTCCGTATAAGCTTAGTCTTATATTTCTGTACTGATTTATCTGCAGTATTTTGTTTATTCTAGGGAAGAAAGACATTGTAAATCACACAGCTGCGTCCAGTTACATGAGTTTATGTCGCCATCTAGTGTTTAGAAAGGTTTGCGTGCACGTCTGCTTTTTCAATAACACACACAGCACACAACCTTAAATACACTGTTTACTTTAGTTCAACTGAAAGGCATCACTGCCATTATCACCAACATCCACAGCTCAGTGCAACCTATATGACAACAGTGTACAGATCTCTGTCATTAACATACAATACCATACACATAATATACATATAACTGATACTGGCACAGAATGCTGTCCCCCTTAAATAAATTACGCTTCTGAATGGGAGCTGTTACAGTGGCAAATCTGTAAAATACAAGAACTGTGAGTAAGAATATTTTAAAAGTTTGGTTGATTTAAATAGAAGCATCTGCTACCAAAAGTCATGTAATGAAAACAAGTTTGTGTAAATTTCTCCTGAATCTCTACAGTCTCTCACACTAATCCACTTATCACTCATCACCTCCAAGCTTGCTTCACACATACTTACTCACGCATCTGATTTTTTTTAAAGCCTTCTTTCAGTCAGATGAGCTTGCCTCATCTTGCCTTTGGTCGTTTCATTTTTTTTTTCTGAACACTTTCGGATGTTAAAGTTTCACTCAAGTTAAATAACCGCTCTTAAAATAAACACTTTCTCTGGAAAGCTCAGCGAGACGTAAGATCAGTAATCACAGTGCAAACGTGTTTCAACAATCCGCCGCAGACTTTCTGGAAAAAATCAATCACTTCAGCCTCGACATATTTAGAGGCCGAGAGGTGAAGGAGCAGGCAGCGCCCTGCGGTGCAGTTTTGTTTCACAGCCGGCCGCCTCCGCTTTGACGTACTTACGCAGGTATCGAATGGCTGACAGGGCACTTACGTTGGCCAGCAGAACTGTGTGGAAAACACAAGTGAAAAAGTGAGTAATCCTGTTGCTAAAATCCAAGTTTCAGTGTGTCACTTAATAAGAACCATTTTGTAATTTCAGTCTTTAAAAAGGAAATTTTCTGTGGTATTAAACACCCTGATGCTGCACACGTACCAGCCTTCCAAGCATCTCCGACTTGTGGATTTGCAGTCTTCAGCACCCACGAGGCAAACGCAATGCAAACCAGACACATGTCTGACTGTTTGAGCGGCAGGAACGGGGCTTCCAACCCTTCAAAGACAGAAATGTTTTGAGTGGGTAAGCTGTTTGTGCAAATGCAACACACAAGAAGGGAACAACCATGTACAGAGAAATCCATTTGTGTTTGGCAGCTGTAAATAAAATCCCACCAAGTTTGGCCTTCCTCTGCTCTCACACAGTGCCCCAGTAAACCTCGAAACACCTGCAGACAGTTCACTTCTAGGAGTATATAAGTATATATATATCTAGTGAGTATTTGTGACCTTAAAGATAACCCTCATGGGTAAGCAAAAGAGCTCAGATATCATATCAGTAGCATATTAATTAAATGCATTGGAGGAGGGGAGGGATTTACACACAAAGACTCATAAACAAATATGAGGTAATTTCATTTCCTTCACAGCCAAACACAATTACAGCCGGCTTAGAGCTCAGATATGACGCTCATTGAGTGAAGTCAACTTATCACGTACTACCATTCCCCTTAGCTTCACTCCTGTGTGCCGGCAGTCCAATACGGATCGTGTGACAGCTGAGGAAAGAGAATCTGTCCCAGTCAGGACTGTAACAGCTGACCGAGCAGTCGTTACAGTCGTCCACATGTGAGGAAAACAAAAAAGAGCTTAACTAAATGAAAAATAGTCTATTAGTTTTGGTTTTTTGTCTGGAGGCCTCACAGAGATGCACTCTGTTGGACAGGTTCATACAGTTAGAGCAGTCTTCATCTTGCTCTTCGAAACATCTTTTTTAAGTTTAAATGTATCACTCTAAGATACTGTAATATGGAATTTTATTCACTTTTCCATTGAGGCTGGAGTGGAAAACAATATCAGGTCCAGTATACTGTAGGTGAAGTGTTCAGAAGACAACTAGACTCCTTTCACCTCCTCCGAGCTGTGTTTTCTGCCTCGTTCAGGAGATTTTGGCTGGTCACAGGTCATTTTAAGATTTGAAAGCAACTGAGTGCTTCTTTGTGCAACAATGACAAATTTAGAGCCCTATCTGATACGTGGACATGTTTGTAAAATCAGATGGTTAAGCTGGGAGAATATAAAGAATGAATGAGAGGAAAATGCATTTTCTGTCTTTTTCAAATTGAATACTTGGAATTTCAGTGAAGATGCTACTGAGATCTCATCTCTTTACTTTTTTAAATCAAACCAATCCAAACTGTTATGTCTGAAATCCAGGATACATACTGAAGATTCGACCACTGCACATTGCAATGAATCTTATAACCTAGCGCATTTCCACGGTTACTGTGTGCATCGTTGTGTTAAAGTGGACTTACTTGGATTTGAAACGGCCGTCTGCAGGTCTTCGTAT